CGGTTCTCTCCCCCGTTCCTCTCAAGGGGAGGGAGCAACCAACTGGGCCTACCTGCCAGTGCACCTCAAGACCGAAGGACGGATGTAGCTTTTGAGACTGAAATGCGTATTAACGCTTTATTTTAGTTGAATTGGTTCGGTTACTTGCTGTGTTTCAACAGGTTTGCATTTTGACATTTGCATCTCTGTGAGGGTCTGAGGTTGAACCACCAATTCAGTTCTGACCAGGAATAATCAGCAGAATGAAGTGAACTTCTGAGAGGCAAAAAGTCATCTTTCACATTCTTTATAGGGGCTTACATGGAAAATAGTAAGGAGAGAAATATAGAAATTCTATAAAACTAGCAAACTTATTTCTAAAGGTAATTTTTTTTCATAACACAAAACCAGCTTTTAAGTCTCAGTGAATAATTTAACTATTATTTGTTCATTAATTTAGTAACTGACACTTACTTGAGTGTCTGTTTGATTATTTTTTTTTTTTTTTTTTTTCCTCCCCCTCCCCCTATATCTGGAACATTGTTTAAGTAATCTAAATAACCAAATGGAATTAGGTTTAATGTTTAAAAAGTTATTTTGATCTTCAGTGTCACTTCTCCACAAATTTGTGTGGAATTTGGTAAGAAATAGAAGCAATCCATGTTGTTGGTGGTGGTGTTGCTGATCTACAGGGTGTCGAGTTTGCAGTTGTAAAGTTGTGAGCTCCAAGGTCAGTGTCAGTTTGAATGTCCCAAAACTTGGAGGCACTTAAGTGATCTGCCTTTGACAGCTGTGGTAAAAAACCCAGTGTCAAGTGCTTCCAGCTTCTTTTACATTTCTTGTCTTTGTTTGAAATAATTTACTTTTGAAAGAAATGAGGAATACATACACATGTTTCTAAAGGCTCTTGCTTTCACTGAAGTACTGTAATCTAGAAAAACAGCTCCTATGGCCATGTTTGGGGGGAAGAGATTGGCTAGGACAACTCTTCTTGCCTTACAGCAGTGTGTATAAAGCTATATAGAAAGTGAAATAAGCAGTACCAAAGGAACACTTAGGAAATTTGTACATTGGAAGGAAACAAACTTCAGTATCAACAGAATACAGGACAGATTGAGAAGGGGAGAGAGGGAAAGTTCTGACAACAGAACTGAAGTAAAACCAGGGTAATCGGATCTGCCAGCATTTACTAAAAGAAGATAAAGTGAAAGACTGTATGCAAGGTTAAAAAATAAGGGCAGATTATTCATTCATGCTGTAAAGTCCACCTTGACTGGTCTGTATTTATGTTAACTAGGTTAAACAAGTAAATAAAAAAGAGGTTGTAATAGAAGTAGCGGTAGATGGTTAATCCCTTCTAATTGGCGTATCCATATTTTTCATAGATTTTTATGTTCTAAGCCTGAGAATGAAGATAAGAATTGGGGTAAATTGAGAAAGGATTTTGCAGGTGACCAGTGGTTATACAGAAACCCTTACCAGACTCCTTACCAGTGGCCAACACCGAGAGCATCTTTTTGTTGAGCGTGATTCTGGCTGGACCAGGGACCAGAACAAGATTCACAGTGATAAGCAAAGTGTTATATTCAAACAAATGACTGAATTACTCACAGTAATGCCCGTCCGTGGAGTAGATCTTGAAAACTGCAGATGGCAAAGGGGTAGATCTTGTGACTTGAAAACTTTACAGGAAATTGGTGGTTCTCTCAACTTGGCTGTGAATATTACTTTGGTCTGTTAGTCATGTGGACGATTGCTCAGTTAAGGTAGAGTTTAGCCTGAGTAGGAGTAGTAAGAGGTATCCACAAGTCTGTTCTCTTTTTAGAAATATGACCTGAATCTAGAAAACAAACAGTACATGAGACAATTTATGAACGTTGGCTTAAATGATAAAGAGGGTAAATGCTTTAGAAGTTACTTCCATGTAACAATGCATTTGAGGAGCTTTAAAAATCTTAACTCTTTAACTAATAGAACAAGTAATAAAATTTAATATTAATACATAGTATGAACAAGTTGGTAAATTAATGATCTTACCCATCTGCCACTATTGTCTAGTAGTAAGATATCGCTTGGGGGGGGAGATCCAAAATATTTGTTGTAACATAAACCCATTATATTTGAACAATTATACTGAATGGCTTCATTTTTTTATTTTTTTTAATATTCACTTGAATTATAATTGTACTTACAAAAAGGGAATCCTTGCCATATTGGTTTTAAATGTAAATAATTAGCTTAGCTTAAGTCATCTGATTGCAGCTATTTTGGGTGTCTTTGTTCAATTTCTGCTCCTGAAACATTTCTGTGTCATAGTTAGAGTCCCTGACTCATCGGTAGCCATGTGTGTCTTTTGGAGTTCTTTCTCAGTTTTCTCTCTTCTATAATTGAAAAGAAACTGCCTCTGAAGAATGACCTTTTTTGGCACCTGTGTATGAAGCGTTGGCCAGGACTGCCTTCTCCTTCTCCCTACATCCTGTACAGTACATTGAGTGAATCGCACAGCATCTTGAGATGAAGTTTCCTCCATTTCTAAAACATTATTCTTGGCTGCACTTCTGTAATGTTTGGCAGCCATAGCTGCTTATTTTAAGATGTTCATTAAAGAAAAAAATTAACAGGATGAGAGACAGCTGCAGGTACTGGCAGTATACAAAATTCATAATTACTAAGAGTAACTGAAGCATATTATACTATAATTCAACAGAAAAAACAGCTGGCACAGGCTATATTTGTCATATGAGAGCTTTGCAGAACGTACTTGCTACAGCTGGCGGATTTATCACCCGTCTGCCAAAATGCTAAAAGCTCACCTTTTTGTTTCCTACTCACTTAACAAAGACAATGTGGAGTAGGGACTGATTTGATTATTCAGCAGGTGGGGTTACTGCTCGATTTTAATATTAAAATCTCATAACGTGTGTTTGGGGGAGGGTTAACAATCAGAATGAATCAACTGTCTAGCTCAGTAGCCATCACGCTTCCTTATGCTTACAAGGGTAAACTGTTTTCTTTAAAAACATGTTCAGGGTGATCTAATTATATAAACAGTTTCTTGATATACAGCTGTATATGAGCATGTAAACTCTCTTTATGGGCTGTGCTGCTAAGAAAGCTCACTCCACACCTCAGTACAAGTACAGGAGACAGATTGTTTTCAGTAACTAAGAATTTTTAATTTAGAAAATTAATCTATTTGGATGGTCTTCTAAGATGACGTAACAATAAAGAGGGCTTGTCAGAACTTAAGAATTTCCTTATTTTCAAAGCCTTTTTGACTAGCGTAGTTAAACTTGAACATAAGCAGGCTACACTTTTTTTGGAGTAGTGTTTGAATAGTTTTAGAAAACTATTAGGGAGTTTATTTTGAAAAGGTGTGTATGAAAAGATGTGACAGGAATTGTATAAAATTCTTGTTTTGCTAATAAACAGTTTATAAAAACTGGACTGTCAAAAAACAGCTCTTCATTGGGGCTCCTGTATTGAAGATGCTTCATCTCAATGCTTGCTTGGACAAATTGCAATAATAGTGTTAAGTATTAACGTACTACCTTGATCCTGCAGTTTTAATCCATCTTTAATTCTTAGTTTATATAAAAATGTTCACATGTAGTAATGCAGGTATAATCTATATATAATTTTAACTGCTTAACATTGTTCAAGTATCTGCCTATGTCCTCTCATTTTTATAACAGCTAGTCAAAAGATGTTGAACTGTTTTTATGATACCTACCTGGGATTGGTTAAAGAGCTTGGTTGAGAACAAGGGAGTGGAAACTACCAGCCAGGTATACTGGCAACCTTAGGTTAACAGATAGAGTGCAACCTTGTATTTCAAGTGCCATGTAGCAGTTTTCAGTCCAACTTTTATGAAATGCTAAGTTTAAAAGTTTTTAAGAGTAAATTACTGTTGAGAACTAAATGCCGTCATTAAAATAGCAGAGGCTTTTTAAGAAGAATATCTGAGATTGAATTATCATCTCCTACCTTACCTCCATTCCCCCAGAAAGAATAAAGGCTTTAGCTTCCGTTACAGTGCAAGTAGTTTCAGTAACAGGCAGAGCACCTAAAAGTTAGGTGTCAGCTTTCTGAGCATCGTCAACATGCTACATATTCATGAAGGTGATTGCATTTCAGCGTACTTTCAACCTGAGAAAGGAAGGTAGAGTGAGAAATAGATTTGAAAATTCTTCACAAATACATTTGAACCTCAACGTACAAGGTGAAATTGGTGGCAAAAATCTTGATCGCACCATTTTTTGTGATGGCTGCGGCTAGTGGAGTAGAGACTGGTCAAAGGTTAGAGCAGCTCATTCAGTTTTGCATCTTCCTCAGGCTAAAATTACCAGAGATTTTTCCATCTTTGTTCATCTCTCTTCTTCAGTGGCTTGTGACGACAAGAGACAAGAAGTTTCCTTTGAGTACCAACTCAAAGATGTCTACCATAACCCAGATAACTTTTGGTCTTCAATGCTATACAAATTCAGGATCACTAAAACTCACTCAGTATAAAAATTAAAATGACCACTTCGAAGAAGGTGGCATTTTCCTTTCTCTCATGAAGTGTTACATTGTTGTCTGTCTCAGAAGTATAGAATGATTTGGTTTTAGGTACTTCAAAGCACCTTCAAAAATGTCCACACTGAAGTCTGGTTATGGGACGCTAATTAGAATGTTAATCTACATTCTGAATGCACTGTGAAAATGCATCTTATGTTTATAGCCTATTTGATAATGTGCCTGCAAAGTAAGATTCCATAAACAGGAGAAAAACCCTGTAAAACGTCAAATGCTCTTGACAAAGTCCTGTTGATTTGTACAAATGCATCTCATTCCTCTGCTGTTATAATTGAATGAGGAAGTGCTAGCTGTGGTAGTGCTTTGGAAATCAATGGTCTAAGAGCAACGCTGTAATTAAAAATACACCACAAGCTCCTACAATGCAAGAAAGTACCTATGAAAGTATATTCTGGTAACTGATGTACTACTGTGTGTTAATCAGCATCTCTTCTGAATTACAGAAGTGAGCTGAGTCAACAAAAACTTCGTAGCCAGGAGCTTATTTCTCAGCTGGAAACGGTAAATGAAAAGGTAACTGAGGTAAGATAATGACTGCTACGACAAGTACTTTCAGTTACAACCTGATGTACGTTAACACTAGGATCTAGACAGAAACCTATTTAGATGAGTTACGTTGCTGGTTTACAAAAAATTAAGGATTTTTTGACAGGAGTAGTCATAACTGGAAAGCCCCACTGTTTCTGCTGACTGACATATTCAAATGGTAGGAAGACAAATGAACTCTACTCTCAAATTACAAGAAAAGCTAAAGGAGAGATCATCTTTCAAGGTTACTGATCTCGCCATTTTAGACAATTCAGGAAATGTTTCAGAGGGCACGTTATGCCTGCGCGTGCATGCATACCTCTAAAAAGGAGTAGGCATTGTGTTAGGGATAATGTAGCATATGCAGAGAGATCAAATTCTCAGCATGCTACGTGTATAGTAGAACTTACATTGTATGTGCATATATGTATATAGATAAAAGCATTATCCATTAAAGGGTTGTTTTGGAATGTGCATCATTCAATAATTAACAGCCACTTTAGAAAACGGCTATCCCGTCAGCCTCATAAATCTGGGATAACATCCAGTTCTATCTAGGATAAGTCCTTCTGTAGTGTTTTTTGTAGTGCTCTTATTTAGAGGAGAAAAATGGAGATGATGTGAGAAGAGATTTCTGTAAGTTGAGGTGGGTTAAGAAAGACTTTATACAGACCCTTTGATGAAGAGAACGGAAGAGATCTACAGCAAGTTTATAATCTCATTTCTATTACCTAGTATATTTGTTTTCCCTTTGAGTATAGCTAAAACATTTACATTGTAAAATTATGTGAATTAAATTACCTGGATTAAAATGTCAACTTTTATGCCTCTTACTTCAAGATGGTGAAATGAGTAAACTTCCTCTGCAGATTACTCTGATTGGAAAAGTCATATGATGTCATATGGGAGCTGGACATGCTGTATAATGTGTCAGCAGTATGTCTTCAGTCTTATTCTAAGTGGTAAACAGTTCCACTTCTTCAGTTCCTCTTGCTTTAAGCTTTTTCACTACACTATGTATGGAGCCAGTACAAAGAATTTTGCATTTGTAATATTTCTTGTACACAGGATGAAAAATTAATGATGGAATATCGAGAATACATCAATAGGCTCCAAAGGCGACTGAGCCAGGCAGAACAGAGGGCAGCGACAGCATCTCAAAAGGTACAGAACTAACAAAAAAAACACGCTAACTGCATTGAAAAAATCCCATTGACTATTACAAAAATACTCACTTTGTAACATTCCTGAGGCAGAGGTGATTATTTATATGCATTATTACTAATATAATTTTAAGAACAAGCTTGTATTTTGGATGCGTCATCACAAAACTGATGCATATTCAATTAAATGCCACCTTCTGACAGGATGCTTAAGTGACAGTATAGACTCATTCATGGAAACAAATTTGATGCAGATTAAACTTGTGTGGTTCAAAATGTGCAAATGAAGGTGTGTGATCATTTTCATCTTCAGAAATGGCAGCAAGTTAACAAAGAGGAAAAAAAACTCCTTAAATAACTGCAGCTCCTGTTTACCTAAAGCAGGCTTTTTTAGCTTGGTGTAACCTACTGCAGCAGTCACAAACGGCAGCTTCAGGTGATAAAGAGCACATGTGCCAATTCCTACACCTCTCTCTGGGGGAGTCTGATTTGAAACAAGGTGTACCTTCAGTGGATGGCTAGAGAACTGCCCCTGTAAAAACTGCTAGGCACCATAGCTGTCTTGTGGAAAAAACCCCACAGATTTCCACCCAGTTCGTTCCCTGGTCTAACTGTGGCTGCACAAAGAGCATGGGGAAATGGTGTGAAGAGGTTGCAGGACAGAATTGATAGCGTCAATCTGTCTAGTGTTCATCAAATTGCAGCCTTGAGTACCTTGTTGCTGTGGCACGTGAACTTCTGGAGTTGTGAACTCCTTGTCAGCAGTAGTCTCCAGCAGCTGTGTCCCCAGAGGCTGTTGGGACAAGTACACCCCACTGCAGTTATGTTATGTGTAACAGACGCAGGAAGTCCAACAGTGTCAAAAATACTGAAAATTGTGCAGACAGAAGAGGAAATACTCATTTTTTTTTCCAGGCCATGGGAAGAGGGGAAGGAAGGGATGGTGTGTGTATCTCATTCCTGTAGTGAACATGCCCAGTACATGTTTCAGTGATGCTGACAAATGGGACAGAGCATGCCTGGGAGAGCCATTTCTATGCCTAAGACCTCCTTGTGCACCACTGTGATCACTTAATGAGCTGAATTGGTGCTGCCTTCTCTTTCCAGTTCTCTTACAACTCAGTTCCAGCTTTGAGCAGTACTATTCAGTATTTCTAGATGTTAGGCATATTGGGAGGAAAGGTTTTTGTCTCTTCAGAGAGAGAAACTTCAGGCTTTAATTTAATCTAAACCCTGTGTTACCTGTAATTCTGTATTTTGTCTGCTAGACAGCAGGCAGGTGGGTTTTTTTTTTTTCCATACTATTCAAGCTATACATCTTGAAGTAAATCCCATGGGGAGTTTATACATTGGATTGACTTATTTGCCAAGCAAATTTGTTACTCAGGTTGGTTTCCTATTAAGTAAAGGTGGCCTTCTGCCTCCTGATTTTTTTTAAGTGATTTAGGAAACCCATTTGCAAATTACAGCGTTTTAATGTGGGTGATCCCATGTGAGTTGCAGAGAGCAAATGTTTGGTTGATCTAAACTGTCCAATTAGGACACATGGCATTTTTTTTCCCCAACAGCAGTGAATAAATGGGCATAGCTGCCAAGCTATCATAAAGTAACCTGTGTTTCCTGGCTGAAAATGCTCTCTGTCATGACAAGGTCTATGCAGCTGGTGAGCATTTGCTCTGAAAGAGTGATTTTTTTTATTTTTTTTTTTTAACCTCCTGTTTGTTATATGGATCTGTTGAGCTCTAATACCTCTGAGGTGCTATCTTCCTTTAAAAAACATGGTCACGTCATCTTTCAAGGGAGTAAATTCCTGGCCTCAGTGCCCATACAGGAAGAGGTCTTGCTGTTCCTGGAAACATCGATAATTAACTGTTCCTCACCGGTCTCCCTCTGAAAGGTAACAGAGATTTGACAAGATGTTTAGCACCTAAATTGCTGTCCAGATCTTATTGCCAGTCTTCAGAACTGCCTTGCCCTCTTCAGGCTTGGCAGAGGTTACTGCTGCCAGCTGTCAGGCATTGGCTTCTTTGTAGGGACTTAAGAACTTCTGTGCCAAGCCCCTTCCTCTTCCCCCCCTCCACCGGCCCCCCCCCTCCCCCCGAAGAGACATACCAATGCTGTCCCCGCTGAAGGCTGGAAAGAGGTTTCCAGGAGTGCTGCTGCAAGGGTGTCCACTCTTCTGAATCTGAAGAAACAAGGTGTTTGTTCTCTTCTGGGTCTCAGAAGACTGACCATGCACGTGTGTGCTTCCTCAGATTCAGAATGGTCGTAGTTTTCTGCATTCTGAATCTGCAGGTTGAGGGCTACTTTCTGACTTGACTTTAGTTGTGTATTCTTGTTACATCATCCAGCTTGTAAAATTAAATCCAATATAGGCAAGAGCTGAACTATTAGGGAGTCTAGAAATTACATTTTTATTGTGGTTAGTTCAATGACTATAACTCTTAGCTTATTATTCAATAATAGTAATTCAGTAAGAAACACAAAAAAATGCAGGATAATATTTGTACAGGTTTAAAACATGTGTATTCTATGTAGATGTCTTTAAAGTGTAGTCCTGCTACCTAATCTTTCCTCATCTTGAATTCTTGGGGATCTGAAAGAAGACAAAAGCAGTAGTCATCTATAGAGTGCATTGTAAAGTCTACTGTTTACCCTAAATCCCCACTTACCTGTCCTTGCTCCCTCTCCTTCATGACTCCTTTCATACTGAATCTTACAAAAAATTATCTAAGAAACTATCTGCTTGTTTTTAATTACAGCTCAGCCTGATAACTAGACAGAACAAAAAAGCTGCTTCCCTGAAGGATCTGGAAAATATTTAAACGCGTGTACTGTTCATTCGCACCATGCTGGATTTAAGAACATTGCTGGAGAAACTTCACGTTGGAGTATTAGTCAAACGCATAGCAAGGCTTGTAAAACGTAGATAAACATTGTCTGGTTTATTCAAGTAAGAAAGGCGGTGGATGAAGATACTGTATCTGCATGCATAGCAAAGATTGGAAGAAGACTGCAAAATATTGTAATTAAAGTCCTTTAATGTAGCAGATGAAACAATCTGATACAGTACTGTGGCATATTGGTGGTCTTTGGTCTAAAAAACACCAGCTCCAGCTATGACAAGATCAGGTACAGGGAATAGAGTATATTGAAATTCATGAACAGTTTTGCTCGCATATGGTCGATACCTTTAATTTTTCTTTGTAATGCAGTAACTTGGGAACATTTTGAATAGCTTTGATGAATTGTAGTAAGACACTAATTACATCACGAATGGCAAATAGTTGCTGGTTTTATGGTTGGCATTACAGTTGCGAAATGCCTCCATTGCCTTCCAGTTTTCCCATGCCCCTGGGAAACAGTTAATAAATAAAATGCTGCTACGGCTGTTCATACAGCTAGTTTCTAAGGACCATAATCTCTCTTCAGTTGTGCTTTTTCTTCCTGTTTTTACAATTGTTCCTTGCTTTTCTGTTCATCTGCCCTCTTGGTTTGTGTCTGGGAACTTCAGTTCCCTATTACTTCATTTTGCACAAAGCTGGTGAAGTCCTCCAGCTCTTACACATTTTGAAATAGTGTGTTTGAATTCTACAGATGCCAGTATGTGGGAATCCTCCTGCATACACGTCTGTCTGTCTTTGATAGTGGAGAAACTTTGTATGTATCATTCTAAAATGAGAACTGAACTCTGTTTTCTCAAATTACAATTATGAAATTATAACCATTTGATAGGTGTTAAGTGATTTTGAAGTGCTCCTATCTTGGGCTTAAGTGATGTAGTTTCTTGTCCTTCCTCTTAAATACGAAGAGTGTCGTTCTGGTTTGTAACTTCTAATTCAGTCAGTTGATGGGTAACACGTACCCCAAGCTTGATGAATGCTGTTGGTTTGGACTAACAAACCCATACGTCTGTCGCAGTGGATCTTCACCGTATTTGCATTTTAGAGGACAGACCTGGGTTGATCACCGCATGGAAGTAAGAGTTTGTGTCACCTCCTGAAAACCTGTCTGTTCCAGTAGAGCCCGGAAGATGGACGCAACCTCAAGAAAAACATCTGCTTACTGCAGAGGAAGTTACTATTTCCTACAGTTGTACACATTTCTTTACTAGTGCTTTCTCTGTTTGATACATGCCTGTATCCATTGCAATCTCTAATTTTGTGAAAAGACTTCAAAGATTTTTTCAAAACAACATGGATATATTGTCCAGAAGCTCCGAACGTCTGTTGTGGTGAGATTTTCATCAATCAACTGTGTATATGATACAGAGGGAGGTAAGTACCAAGCACCTTATTTTCATTTGCATAATGCACATCTGAGATGAAGACAGACCACCTGGAAGATTGTGCGTGAGCTATTAATCCCACTCACTCCTTAAACAGAAGCTTTAGCTGTAAAGTGAAACCTGGCTGAAAATGGTAGGTAATTTTCAGTTTTTGAGGAACAGTATTTGTGCATTTGTTCCTTGAGGCACTGAAGGGAAGGGCACCTGCTTCGTTCCCTTTTAATTACGGGTGTGATCATTTCAACTTCGGGTGCAGCTCTTGTGTAATGGTTATTTGCCAGAGTATCAACTGCAATGATGACGCAAGCACCTAACAGTGAAGTTAAGGGTCAGCAGAGCAGTTATGGCAGAGGACAGATGAAAGAAAATTTCCCTCCTGTCTGCCTCATCCTCTGAGCGGCTAAAAATGGACCAAATACACCTGCCTCAACCACCAAAGGGAACGCAGTCAAATTAAGCTCATCAGCCTACCACCACCTCCTTTCATTTCCGTTTGGCATCCAGAGGAGGCTGCTGGCACGTTGCTCACAACTTCCAGAGGGAAGGCACTTGCTGAGGCATTAAAATTTGAGGCTTGCTGGTTAGGTAAGTTTTGTTCTTTCCCTCATGATACTAGATTGTTTCATTGAATGGAGAGCAGGCTTTTCAATCATCTGTCTTGGTGGTTTTACATTTGTTTCTGTCTGTGTATTTCTTGTCACTCTTCCATTGGAAAGCTTTTGTTTTCCCTACCTTCCTTTCCCACCCCAACACCAGTTTTTGAGCGTTTTCAAGATTCCCTAGTGTGATATTAATGTTTCCCATTGAGTAAAACTTTGTTCTTGACTGTGTTGATTTAGGAAGAGTTTCTAAGTGAATAGTTACTTCCATTCAACAAGTGAGACAAACTGACTACAAAGGCAGTACGAGTTTCATTTTGGGTCTTCCCAAGAGCCCTGTACCTTCTGGCATGGGCCAGATCTTGAAAGATCTCTCTCTGCACATGAGAAACTTTTTCATAGTCTAGTGAAGTGGTGAGCAAGCTGTCCTCAGCTCTGACCCAGTCTTGCTCCGGTAACCCCAGTAGTGCTGTGCCTTTCAGAAAGGCTGCTGTCAGCAAGATGGATAAAGCAGCTTGCAAGAACCTCTTTCGGACTTTTAGTCACACCTTGAAGAGCTTGTACTAGTAACTCGTAGGAGGGCCACCCTTTCATCTTCATTTTTAGAAATGTTTTTGAGGGGTGCCACTCACAGCCGCCCACGCTGGGAATGGATGTGATACAAGTACAGAGCTGAGAAAAATTATTTACCTATAGCAGTTTTTCAAGATGCATTGCTAGACGTGCGCTTTGACAGCCTTGTCCTTCTCTTGCTCTGCCCCAAGTCCATTCCATGTTTCCGCATCTTGAGTTTAGAGGAAGTACGAGGAAGGGGCCTACTGTGCCCTTCACGCCTTGTCTCCTCGAGACCCTGCTACAGCGGCCCATCTTCTCGGTCAGCGTTGCTTGACTAGCAGCAGTTCACAGCATGAATGTACGTGCAGCTGCTTATCTCAAAGGTCTACAGGTCAGAAACCTCACGTTCCTCTTCCAGTGGAACATGTACGAAGATTATGGACTTTGGAAGGACATCGTGTATCAACAAATGTAAACTATTGGAGGTAAGCAACATCTCTTTGAGGAACTCAAGGAAAAAAGCATACAATTTTCTGTTGATGGGATAGACACAGCTGTCACTAACAAGACCCTATACTAGTCCTAAAAAAAGAATAAATCAATCTTCCTCTTGCAACCACAGTGTGCATTTTGATACCTGTCATAATCCAAATTAGATGCTTATTTTAACCATGAAAGTTGTTCAGATCATTGCAGTGAAGTGTTTATGTAAAAACCCAAACAAAGTAACTACTGCAAATTCTTAAACACTCCTGGCAAGGATACTGCAAAAATGTACAGCATTTATTCACATACAGACAAAAAGGCACAATTCTACTGATATTTTAACAAAAAATACAGCTGTCTTCAACTAGGTCTTTATAAATACTTCAAAAAAGGGAGAAAATAAATACAGGATTGGGCCATGTAATATAAAATAGTCATCTCTACATATACTTTTTATTTCTATCTGTTTCTCTTCATGCACCTTTTTTAATTAATTTCAGCTGAATGGACACCAAAGCTAGGCACATAGTGAAAAATCTTCTGTACAAGGTTTTACAAATGTAATGACAATTTTCTCAAATTTCTGAAATTAAGATTTATACACAACACGTATAACCCTTCACTGAGATTTGTGTGAGTTTATAACCTAACAATTGGCATTCCAGGCAACTTTACAGAAGTTCAACTAGCCTACAGTTTGACAGAATTACACCAATCATAAAGATCTCTTGGTCAGTCTGCACAAGGAAAGATAACGCTTAAAACCAGAAATTCAGCAAATGGTTCTATCCCAATAAAATACAGGGGTGGGTTTGTACTGTCACTGCTGTACTTACAACACCTCTTCTGCCGAGCGCTAAGCAAGGGAGACAAAACTAACCTACAGAGCTGGTCACACTGCGGTCGTCTTACAGCTTTTTTGGTTTTGGTTCAACTTCACTTGAAACATTAGAAAGCTTATTAACCTAAACATCAGGGAGCAAAACAGATAAGGCATTAATTCTGCACAAGGTTAGCGTTCGTAATAGTGCAAATTAACAAGGTACCTCTTTCGAACTGGTGTGAGGTTAAATGTTTACTTGGAATCAAAATTTAGACTATTCCATCTATGGCTTGACAAACAGTTCCCTATGCGGTCATGAGCTTCTTTCTTACAGAAAATAACAGTGCCTGTCTGGAAAATGTTGCTGGAGTAGAACTTACCTGCATTTACCTTTTGTGTGGTTATGTGATCAAATAAGTACTTCTCTTTTAACACATCCCAGGGGTGACTACGTAACTTCAGATTCACCAGTGCCCTGTTTGACGTTCACCTCTAAGTCACAAAGTTAATCTAACTTCTTGGGACCAGTATTTCAGAAGTGTACTATCTTACACAGAATTCCCCTTCCTCAAAAGGTTAAGACTTCTGAGTTTTTTACAATAAATGACAGGGATGCATTCTGTTGAAATATTTAATTAAGTGATAACTTGCATAGCAAGATAAGGGGTGTTAATAAGCCTTTTTTTTTTTTTTTGATTGAATCCTCTGGAAGACTCAGTTATGGCAGAGTTCTACTGTGTTTTAAAGGGTCTAATGTTAACAAGCGAGTGGATGTGATAACGACAGGCTAGGAGTAGAGGGGGGAGGAGAGGTTCTTTATGCCTTTCTGTAACACATTGCTGCTTAAACTTTTTCACCGGTACCGACCTGACTTATAGCTATGCAGAATTCCAAACTTTACAGACTCCTAACACTCCACTGCTATATGGGCACTCTACTCGGTACAAAACAGTACCCTAACGATCTGTTAATATTATTGCTCATAGCTTACTAGTTATTGCCATTTGCAACTATTAAAAAAAGTACACAATCAGAATATGAGTTTCCTCTTCCATCAAATCTAGTCCAGAATAGAATGATAGATTTTTTTTTTTCATTTGACTGTAAAGAGCTAATCACAATTTATTGCCTATCCATTTTATTCTATTTAAAAATATATACTTGTGTCCATTTTAAAGCAACCCTTTAGTGTCATAAGCCTGGCTTTCCCAATACATACCATTAGTGCATACGTGGTGGGGGTTTTGGGAAATCCTACCGACTAGTGCCGTGGAAGTTGTTTTCTTTTTCTTGAATTGTCATCATACTCCCGGAGGCGGGCGACTGACTCAACGGTGACGGGTTTAATTCCACAGGGTGCTGTACCCCACACGCCAGACCCCTTTCTCAGAACTGAGCCAGCTGGGAGTGGCCTCTGTGCTCAGCTCGAGTCTTTTCACCCTGTTGCACTGTAAGGCAGCTGCAGCCCTGCCCTGTCACTTCCTCCTGCTCCAGTGTAACAGCGTGGATAAATCCAGTCGTCTTGGGGGGGTATTTACATGTAAACTCTGGAGCTTACGGAGGGTTCTGAGCTGCCACCTATGCTCAAACGGAGTGCAACAGAAAACATTCTGCAAAGAGAGGAGAAAGACCTACCACCATCAAGGAAAGTGACCATTGGTAATGGGATTTAGCAGTGCAGTATGGTTAAACAATCATCTTTGATTCAATACACGCTAGTTTTAAATTAAGAGCTTGTGCTTTTCCAGAAGGCAGGGGCAGAGAGTAAAATTTTATCAGTGCTTTTTAGCTAAAAGGGATGAATGCAGCCTACTTCCCCCTACCCACCCTCGCTCCTTCTAAGAGGTTTGTGAGATACTCTAGTGTTCATCACAAATCCTATTTTAGTAGCAATATCAGGAAAGTTGCAAATAAAGGAGATTCAGACTTCTCGCGGGGTGGAGGTGGGCACCAAAAAAAACAGCTTTAAGTGCATGTAAACATGTTTATAAGCTCAGGAATAACAGGTTATCAATTTGTCAGTCTGCAGCCATGTCTAAGAACTCCCCTCTCTCACACCAATAAATAACGTGGAGTTGGCTTGTAGGCAGTGACTCAGTATACTGACCACGGTGCGGACACCGTGTCCCTGTGTCCAGTCAGGATGCCAGGATGCTTCTCCTAATAATGTCCGTCCTTCTGCTGATAGTACTGTTTGGACTGAGCCTCTGCTGCCTGCACTTTTTGTCAGCCACTTCAGTCTCCGAGTCGCTCAGTTCGGCATCGGGGATGTACCCATCATTCTCGCTGTCAGGCTTTAGCTTGCTTTTTGCCCTGTCCTTCGGTGAAACTCTGCCCATGCCCAGGTAGGGGTAGCTGGAGTTCTGGCGGCAGGTCTCCTCTGGGCTCTCGCCCTGCTGTTGCCTCTCCCCCTTCTTTGGAATTCGGAATCCGCCCCAGTTTTTCACTGGGCTTGTGGGCATCGTAGGCACTTTAACTACTGTCTGATTAGAGTTTACTTTGACAAGACCCCCGTTGCATTTAGGCACTATATCCCTCCGCATGCCAGGTGCTGACCTACCACTGGAGTGGTTCACAGCCCTTTTATTTTCTGATTGCCTCTGAGAGAGTTCTGTGGGTCTCAGGGGTTTGTGGTTGTGTTTAGAAGTCTTTTCCTTTAGTTCCGCCTTGATCATCTCACACTGTGGACGATTGTCTCTTCTTTTTCTGTGCTCTGGTATGACTATGCCGTTCTTCTGCTGTGCTGATACAATCCGTGTTTCTGCAAAGGTCTTGTCAAAATTTAAAAAGCTACCTGGAGCAGCACCGCCTTCCCTTTGGCCGGGCTGCCTCAGCATGGATTTGCTGTCGTTCCCAGAGCTGTTTCTTACTCTGTCTCTCTTGTGTGATTTTTTCAAAGAGTGGGTTAGAGATGTGCCCATTTGTTTCCTGAAGAATGCCGAATGCCATTTCAAATCCTCTATCTTGGGAGCATTGGGGCCCAAAGATGGACTATTGAACAACACTGTGTTTTCCATTGAGGAGAATGAGGAAGGCACACCTAAATGTAAACACATTAAGTTAAAGTCAAGCAATGCTATGTCTGGGTAAATACCACTCCTGAAGGTACCTAATTTAACTCTGTTCCTCAGGGATGACGTTCTTCAGCTTCAATTGGTATTTGGTTGCCTGTCCAGCACATTTACGTCACAATTATGTGGCTCTGTCATGGCTTCACAACATACTACTGGTGTAGTTTGCTTTCCTGTAGCTGTGCTGCATGTAATTACACTTGTAGCAGATACCAATCCTAGCATTACTCTATCCACTAAGACAGAGAGACTCCTCAGAGGTGGGGGGGGGGAAGCAACCAGCAAGTGGATCTGGTTGTTTCCGTCTAACATACAGAATCATAGATGTTTTATTACTTACTGAATACTTCAAGGATAATCTAATTAATGCAGTTAACTTTGAAGGTATCATCTTTGAGAAAAGACTACTGTCAATGAGATGAGGCAGAAAAAACCCCATGTTGTTTAGCGTTTAGAGTGCTACCTTTTCAAAATTCATTCCTTCAAACTGCCATCCACGATGCAAAGTAGCACATACTAAACACTAATGCAGCGGCACTAATAAACCACAGACCTACTAGGTACCATATGGCACCTGAATGTAAGTCATGGTCTCTCTGTCATAAGGAGTCATTAAAGAATCGCACCAGAAAGGCTCTGAAGCAGCAAGCCTTTCAGTGCCCCATGGGTAAGAACACAGATTTACCAGTTTCTATAGCAATGTGCCCACCATTAGAGCTACGCAGGTTCTGGGTTTTTTTTTTTCTTCCAATCTGCTGATGCGTGGTGGCCCACACAAGATTTTAATGAGAATAAATGAGGTCCTGTTTGTCCTTCAAAATTAGTCATTAGCCTGTAACCAAACCTTTCAATGCATGTGCCTGTGGTCGGAATTGAACAAGGTAACACTGGAGCATACCTGAAACTCTTTCTTGTTCCAACTGCTTTGCGTAGATATTAAATATCTGTTCTTGAACTTTGCAAACAGATCTCTTGATTTTTTCCCTTCGGGTCACCATGTAAGTGAGATTCCGCACCTAAAAGACATCAAGTTGATAACGTTTACAGGAATTCTGTTTCTATAATGTTGTCAATCTGTGCTTTGAATTAATTCAGTTTAAGTACTATACACCATTTAAACAAGTTAGTAATGTATTTAAATTTAACCTTCTTCAACACACTTAGAAAAGAGTCTGAAATACCATTTAATTGACAGATTTTTCCCTCAGATTTGAGACGGCGACACCACAGAAGTAACTTCTATGAACACCTGAATCATATGTGTGTGTATATATATACAGCAAATCTAGAGAAATGCTGGAAGTGGTTAAATATACTCAGTATTAAACAGCCTAGGACCATTTGCTTCCTAGCACTATTTGCTTCTTACTGTTTGAGAGACAACAGAAAATAATACTGAATTAACAGGATGAAAATGTGGAAAGCTATTCAACAGTACCAGTCTTTCTGACAACCCTGCCCTTGCAGTATGATTGATCGAAATGAAGGCTGGCCAGTCTATTCATGCCATAGCACAAGGACATAGCAGGGACTGGAAACAGGAATTAAATGATTATTTATTTCGATCATCTCAGGCTTTTTTAGAAGAAAACTACACTTCCGCCCTTAAAATGTGACTGTCTAATCTAGACATCTGTGTCAGGTCCACAGCCATCACTCTCCTAGAGCTCAGAAGTTCTCTCTTTCCCAGCTGAGGGAATCGCTGAAAAGCATACGAAGGTACTTCCAAGGCTCCTCTCAGTTTGGCGTAGCTGTGTACAGCGTGGTGCCCCGTGGAGCACAACCCTGTAGGCTGATCTCAGCACCACTGAGGAGGAGACATTTAAGACTGTGACTGGTTTTGCTAAGGTCATGCTCTGTTTAAGGCTTCCAGTCCCAGGACTAACTAACTGTCATTACTCTGTGGATTTGAATTAGAAGGGATTTGTCCAGCCTGGTACAGTCCATGGCCTTTTGTTCTTCTCCTCGTCTGATCCAAGCCACACAAGAGATGCGTCATGTCCACAGAGGCACCTCTTTCATTAGGTGAACTGGATGACACAATTCCAAAATCTGTTTCTAGATGGATGATGCTGTCACTAATGTCATTCCTAATCAAGTCTACCTGACTTTATCTGGAAGAGGAGAAAAAACAACTTGGGCCCCATTTTTTTTTTTTTAATATCCAAGTTATCTTGGATGTACAATCAGTGATAATGAGGGACCAGTAAAATATTAAAACTACTACTAGATGGTATATCCTGTTTTGACATCACACTTAAATGGAAAAGATAGATACAGAATATTTTGAGATCCAGAGAACACAGTGACAAACTCAACTTGTTTAGCTGATCAAAGAGAAGATGAAGGGAAATCTTGAGCACACAGAGCAGGAACACAAGGTACTAGGTAACAGCCATCTCGCCCACCTAGAGCAGAGTGATGGGCTGGAAGTTGAAACTAGAAAAAAAAACTTAGAACTGCAACAATTCATTAGAAGAGTAATTAGCCATCAAGATCCTTTACAAAGGGTGCAGCAGATGCATGAGCGCCTGCTGTAAACCCTAGACAGTATTCTGGAAGGCTCAAAGTTCACCCACAGGTTACTGAGGCTGAGGGAGGACCTCCTGAGCCAGGATCCATACGTGGCCTACATGAGCCATATGCTGTACGGACTGAAAAAACTAAAGTAATTTCAGTACTCTTTCTAGCTCTAGCATATCTTAAACTCTACCAGTTAACCCAAAAAAACTCAAAAAGGAAGGAATTCAGATCATTACAGGATCAGATGTACTTAAGATAAAACACCAAACCGATCCTACTGAACTGTTCTTTAAACATTCACAACCTAACTGAGTGGAGTATGGTGCGCCTCCCAAACCTACTGCACAGACAGTCAAGGGAAATGTCATCCTACTCGGCTGTGTCAATGAAAAACAGATCTACCGCAAATCAAAGCAGGTTTCATAATCTTTTCCTTCTTGTGCACCAGATGAAAGGAGCAGAGAAAGCCCTCAAAGGCTAAAAGAGCTCCAGCTGGGGCTTGCAGTAACAGTCCACAGCCATCAGCGTTCATCAAAAAGCGTAAGCGGAAATACGACAATCCAGTTCTAAGGAGACTGGATATTACAACCCACGACCTGCTGCCCTGTGAACTAACCCTCTAATTGAAAAGGGTAATCGGTGTGCTCTCTAGAAATGTCACGTTAATGGTCTTTTCTGACAACGCAACTTTGAGTTAAGATGCAGCATGGAGTGCCTGCATGCAAGGGCAATAACTAAGAGCGTAGTTTGGAAACTTGGCTAACGAAGGCCAGCACAGCTCGCGCAAGCACGAGCAGTGCAGTGGCTTACCCGCTCTAGATCCTGCCGGAGGTGCGTGAAGAGCTGCAATCTCCTGAACAGAACATCCTGTTCCCGTTTAGCCAGATTGTCCTCTTCATCCTTCTTTGGGGTAATCAAAGGCTTATTGAAGTTGGCTTTTCTCTTCAGCTTCCAGTACTGATAAAGGAATCCCACCGGCTCCTCAGGCAGCCGCAGCGCTTTAGCCACTTCCAAAGACTCAACAAACGTGTAGAACTCATCCTCCAGCTGTTGGAGCTTTTGCTTGCGGAGGCTGACTCTGTGGGCCTCCTCCTGGTTCTGATCCATGCTGTGGAAAGGATCGATGTGGGCAGGAAGAGAGCTGTCCTGAATTCCGTTCCCATTCTCCTGACCTGGGCTTTCACTGAAAGTCTCATCATCTGCTTTCTTGGTGGAGCTGTGCTTGGGACAGTATGACTTAAATTTCACCTCATCGTTCTCTGCCAGTATGGTCTTCATCTCCAAGCCACGGTCAAATGCACAGGTGACGTGAAAGGCTGTTCTGCAGTTCTTCACTGAACACTACAGAAATTAAATTAAAATTAATCAAATATACATTTAAGAAGCCACACTGCCCAAAACTATTCCAGCAGCCAGGACTGCTTTGGGAGAACCACCCTGTTACCATGCTCTCCTTCTAAGCTGCGTGCACTTTCTTGCTCTCTTTTAATTAGGTTTACAATTTAGGGCTTTCAGGCCAGGCAACGATCTAGCGGCCCAGTGGGACAGGAGTGGTTACCCCCTCCCTAGCCCAGTCACACTATTCAATAACCAGCAAATTCACAAGAGGGGCATTCTTACCGTCACCAGAGCCAGACACGTAAGGCAGTGGTACCCAAAGGAAAACGGCCCCCCTCGGGCTGTGCCAGCATCTCAGTGGCTCCAGGCCAGTCTGATACTTTTAATTAAAAGTCTGTCCCAGCACCTGGACCCATGCTACCCAAAAGACCTCAACGGAGAAGGAATTTGTTTTTTCCCCTGTTAGCCCAGTTTTATAATGTCAAATACTAAATCGCTATCAATCACTACTTCACTGACTACAGCCTTCACTTCACCTGGGAGAAGACAAGAACAGGAAATTCAATTTTTTGTCATTTTTCTTCCCTCCCAGTGAACCCAACCATCATGGAGTGACGGGCACTAGTTCAGCTGATGTAGCACCTCATTTCAATTACATGCAACTTCCTCTTGCAAAATACTGACATAGCTATCACCAGCCACAAACTGAAAGGTTTAAATATATATAGGTATGTATATACACACACGCATACATATGCATTTATATCAACTCACACCTCTGCCTCCAGTGAGGCGAATTTAAAGTGGAAATGACCATTAGTGCTATTAACTAGGAGGAAAGAAAACTATGCTTAACCCAAGTCATCTAACCTTAAAGAGAAATTGCATTCCACTAGGATGTTTATACAGCACTTTGGAAAGAAGCCAAATATCTTTCTCCTCTGGGTTTTCCTGTTCAGGTTGACTCAGTGGCCAGGTGGCATATAAAGGTACAACCGAGTTTAAACTGCAGAAGTTTCAAATGAACATTCTTTAATAAAATCAACATATAAAAGGAATTTTAAAATACCGAAGCATCTTTTGCCCTTTCCTCTCTTACTAACAAACAGGGCAAAAGCAGCTCAAGTGGAACACCGACCAGTACAGAGGAGTACTTTAGCCACGGTTTCCAAGCTGCTACCATTTAGAATAATGAGCTCTTGGTGTGGCTCCTGTTTTATTGGGAGGAGAGGGGAAAGCCTGCCTCATCAGAAGGCAATCTGCTGGACCTGGGAGGATACGCAGCCTCGTATTTCCCAGCTTATTGCAGCTGCTCTCTGCCCAGCCTGAGACATACTTCCAGCTGCCGGCTTTTCTAATTGTGGTGCACATCTTGTAATACTCCAGAGGATCTCTCTCACTCTCTCAGTTCCTCCAGTTAATGCTACTTCATTTCTAGTGCAGTGGCTTTGTATAATGTTCTTCTCTGCTCTATAAAATTTCACAACACAAATCTTAGTATTTCTCTCTGCTAGCTTTAATGACACCAAGATTTAGACAACTCTTACAAAATGTCAGGCAAAACTGTAATTTTTTGTCTCTCCCCCATAATTTCAAACATAGAACTGTCTGAAGTGGCAGCCATCATGCCTGCATGTCATCCTGTGTCATCACTAGAAGGGAAGAGGTGGTATCAGAAGAAATATGGGAGGACACCCCCCTCTCCCCTGCACGCTAACGTACATACATACTGGAGTGTTCAACTTAAACTACTGTGAGTTACCTCTCAGAACAGGTCTGGAGAATGGACAAAGGAGTTTCAACTACGTAACAGCAGTGAAGAGGAAGGGGACAGCTCTGCAAGGAGGTATTATGATTGCAAATTTATATGCTGGGGACAGATTTACTTTCTCTACTTAACATTTACTATTTTATACATTCCTTACATGGAAACGGACTGATAGGTTTCACTGGAACTACTGCTGCACTGCTGTTCTACAACTTTTTCTGGCAACCTCACCAAACGACTTGGAGCAGAGGAAAAAAAGGAAATGGATAAAAACTAGTTTCAAAAAAAGGGCAATTTTTCAGCAATTTTTGTGTCTTAATGCTGGTCTTTCTTACCCTCATGGACCCTGTAACGTTAGGCTAGCCACAAAACAGAAAGAGCTCTACTTCTTCAGAGGCCTTATGAGACAGTAGTATCTTCCTATCAGTGACAGGGAGCTTTCTGTGATCATTTCACTGAAGTATCTGAAGCACTTTGAAGGTGAAGAGCGTTACCGCAATACTAAGTTACGTTTTATTGTCTTTTTCTACACAATCACAACACTGCCCCAAGTGGGTCACCTGTCCTTACTCTCTCTTATCATTTGTTCTCGAGTAAGGTAGATCAAAGTTTTGTCTTGTGTCTTGGAAAATCAAGTATCTCCTCTTTCAAAAATCTGGGGCTTGGTAACGTGTTTTCTCAATCCTTCCAGATTTTAAAATTGTTCTTAAATGGTTATTTAACTTTTCTAAGTGATCTTCCACTGTAAAGGATCTTGAAGTGCTTTACAGCTAACAACCCAATATAAATATGCACGTGAAATGACACTGCCCAGTCTGAAATGCTCTGGTGCAGACCAATTCAGTTCTTTAACAGTGACAATTCACAGGCTACGGTAAGAAAGGCTGAAACCAAATCCAACTGAAACTGCAAGAGAGAATTTCAGAAGTATGCAGTGAGAAAAACTGGCACTGGCCCAAGAATGTGAGTTGTTGGTATAAAACAAATGGCTTTATAGGGCTGGCTTTATAGTTTAATTCTTTATTGCATACAGAAATCATTCTTTTTGGACCTATGAAGAGTAGACATTTGTTTTGATTCTCCCCCTTCTTGCTGTTTCGGGCACTCAGCATCCCTGAGCTCACTTATCAGAAGTCAGAACGGTAATGTGGCACTGCTTCCACAGCAGTCGGAACTGGGAAACTCACACCCAGGAGGGTTTTTTTTTCCCCTCAGAAACACCAGGAGCCTCCAGAATCTACCCGCAACCAATGGAGGAAGTGGGGCTCATTTCCTCAGCTTGTGCCTTGCTTCAATCTCAGGGCAGACCAGTCAAACCATCTGTTTCTTTCCTACTGCTCAAAAAGCCTAATATTAAATGATCAGATACTCTCCTCAGCAACTTAAAAGCTGGACCAACAATAAAATAGTTACAGAAAAAACAGTTACAGCCAAAACAGTCCAATGTTAAGTTATACCTAAAATAAGAAATTCAAAGCTACAACTAGCTTTACCATCAAAGTGAAGGTGTTCACTTCCACTGACCCCAGTGAGAGCTGGGCATGCTCAGCACCTTAAAAATTCAGGTTGTTACAGGAAATACGCAACTCCCATTAGAGTATCCAACTTGTCTTAGAAGTCACTAAATAGGGACTAGCAGATAGGTTGCAGCAGAGAAGCTTACAGCATTCAAGCTTCATTTTTGTGTGTGGTTCTTCACAGAAATAGTTTTTTTCCCTCCTCTACTCAACAACATTTACGTTTTATTCCAATGCACTAATAAACGTATCAGCATAGCAAGAAATGAGGAAGTCTTACGGGATGACCTGGCTTTAAAGTTTTACTAGAGTAAGAGCACACTAACATGCAAAAGCACTTTGTGTGCAATTAAGTCCACAGTAACAAACAGGAAATCAAAGAAAGTTTACTGTGGATACACATTTTGTATATCTACTAAATACTGACAAAAGAAAGCACATGGATATCTGTGCGATTAAATTACCTGTATAGAAGCTCCAACTTTTTCATTACAAAGGCTGCACACCAGCGCCCATCTACTGCTGGGAATGTGAGAAACCTTTGTAATGGGCTCCATTTTTTCCGGGCTTCCGATGCTCACCTAAAAGAATAAAAGGTTAAAAAACGCATTACACTGTTAACTGAAAAAGGAAACAATTTTATCAACGAAATTAAATTCCTTGTGTGCATACACAATATTAACATTTTCCAAGTTCCTCAGTTTATAAGGGACTAAAAAAAAAATTAGAATTTGTTTTTTAAAAAAAAATCAGTTCCTCGTCAAAGAAATTAAATTTCTTGTGTGCATACACAAAATTAACATTTTCCAAGCTCCTCAGTTTATAAGGGACTAAAAAAAAATTAGAATTTATTTTTTAAAAAAAAATCAGTTCCTCACTGCATGAACGGAACAGTTTCAAGGTGAAGCCCACCGACTTAAAATTATCGTGCAGAATGAATATTTTGAGAACCCACAGGAATTCTCACTATCGCATCCAAACCTTCCTAATTCATCTTTAATGTTCTGTTTACAAAATAAAACCGTACTTTGTGTCCTTGTTAAATGAGCTTTGCCAGCAACAAAGGCCTCATTTTTTGAGGCCTAATTTTCATTGACAAAGGTAACATAATTACTTTCTTTACAGATGATGCATCATCCTGCCAGACTTTACATCTGATTGAAAATCTTTTATACTGTCTTCCTAAGAAGTACCATATACACGCTACACTCATTGTAGCAACAGGCCCTAGGTTCCACAATGTTTTTAACAGATTTCTTCTCTCCCAGAATCCCTGCAGCCCTGAACTCCCAAAGGATCAGCACCTACCTCCGGAATCCACAGAGCACAGCTAACGTGGACCCACTTGGTGCCACTCCGGGTCGGCTTCATGGCACCACCCTTCTTGGGACACAGCAAACACTTGGGCTGAACGCCAAGCGCGCAGGTCCGGCAGAGCCAGCTGCCTTCCGGCACCTTCAGGATCCCGTAACATGCCTGTATTCCCATTTACAGAAAAGGGAAAGAAAACGGCACACATTTCTGTTACTTTTTAGCTGTTTTCAGCTGTAGCCTCTCCGAACTCTCAAAATGTTCTTTATGGAGTGTCTAACACTATAGAAACATTAGCTTGTGGAGGATCTTGGGACGCTTTCATAAACTTAGCCAACCACATTACCCACCCTTTCCCCAAAACTTTTGGTAAAAGGAGCAGAAGTCAAGACCAGCTGTTAGGCAAAAAAACGCTGCCCGCTTCAATTGGGAAAATGAAGAATGTGTTTGCCAGCTCAAAGAGCAAGGGGACTCCTGACAGACAAACCCGCCAGGAGCAAGCTAGGATGAAGTACGGTATCACGAAGACTATACCTAACAGGAACTGGACCGCATCCAATTCAAAAGGCAAGAATCCCAAATTCAAGAGCTCCGCTGTGCAATACTCAATGTTATTCCAAAGCACTGGGTTTTACTTCTTATTCAGAGGGAAAAGTGCAGAACAGCAACTAATTAAGATCACCTTTTTCAGAAGACTGCATCTTTCTGGAGACCTCTGTCCAAATTACTGTCAGTTTTAACCCTCTTAAGTTTCACGTTTGATGTGATCAGAGGCTAAGGATCAGAGAACCCTTACAGGTCTAAAAACATCCACTTTCCTCTGAGTATCTTGCAAGATAGCCATTTGTACCTTACAGCCACATAGGCGTATTTCTTTATCATGAGTACAAATGCATTTAAGTAACACATGCAAGAAAACGCCATTCTTGCTCACCAGACAACACAGTTTTCCAAACACTGAATGACAAAGTAAACTTCTTAAAGCTGGGAAGGAGGACAGGCTGATAGGAAGGCATCGGCCACAGTAAGAAGCATCCAGGGAAACAGATACGCTAAAACTGTACCTGTTCTTTCATGCTAAGAAGACTTCTTAACTGCCACAAAAAGGTGTCACATCAAAGTGCTTCCTTAGCTCAGTAGGTTCTCCATTAAATTAAAATGACTGTAATAAATCCTACCTGTGTCCCTACTGACTGCCTCCAAGTTCTTTCTTCCCCTCCCTGCTGAGCCCAAGCTGCTGATACTAACGGTGTGTTAGCCCCGGAAGTGTGCAGAAAGAGAGGAAAAGGATATAGCACAAGAAGCGACCAGGCGAGAATGCCCAACAATACACACGGGTATGTTTTGGGGAGGCAATTCCTCACCTTGTAACTTCCTCCACACACAAACAATACCACTTTCACCCCTCTTAGCATGACACTTCTACAATTACATGTAACAATGCTCCTTCTCCATTACCTAACTTCTGAATTCATCCCACTGTTCAACTGTAAACTCTGCAACAACTTAACAGATCAATGTCACTGGAAAATACCCAATCTGTTACCTTTAATGGTTTGGAAAAGTTTCTGTCACCACCCCTACACAACCCCCACCGTGCCCTGGCCACCATACCTGGTGCACACAAATATTGCATTTGTCACAAAACACCATTTCGTTGCCATCTTCTCCATCTGGAGACTGACAGACGTCACAGACAACATCTTCATCATATTCAATCCCAAGTCCTTCTTCCGTCTCGATAGCATGATTCATGTTATCATAGCATCGTTGTTCAAACTCCTCTATGACCCTTTCCATCGTGTACTCATCCAGCTCAGGCATCCCTGGGAAACAGGAGTTGTTAGTTATTTGAAGAGTGATAACCATTGCCACACACAACTCCAGCTTCTTTTTTAACAGCTGAGTAGATAGAGCCAGTCCCCACACCTGCACATTTCATTCCTAGACAATCATGCCTATTCCAGTATAAACTAGGGAATCTGTAAAAAAAGGTCAAAGTCATCTTATGACTGTATTAAACTAATAGAAGTGAAGTATCCAAACCAATCTTATGAAATCCTGAGCAAAATCTTTCATAAACTGATTTTGGCTTCCTGGTCTTGTTCTCATTTTTCCTTCCAGGACAGCACCGTCTACAGCTTCTGCTTCCATTTTGCAATGCAGATGTTGACTCTCTGGTGAAAAATCTGAGAGTGTTTTGAACAAAAAGTGATGGGGGCAGAGCAGAGAAATCAAGTAACAAAATCTGTTATGATACTTGTAGCAAACTTGCAGTTTCTAACAACAGTTGTTGGTTTTTCACAAGTTCCAACCCAATCGGGTGCAACCCAAACTGAGATCTCCAGCAGACCCTGCTACACCAATAAAGGAGTTTGTTTTTTAAAAAGTGAAAAACACAGTTGAAATAAATGCAACGTCAAATCTGGGACAATAAATAAATGCAACATCTAATCTGGGATTTGGTCTTTTCAAAGAGCATCCATCAGAAAATTATTCATCACACCACAGCTACAGGCTGATTACATTATAGTATTCTATAATTCGAATTTGTTAATTCTATTAAATTACTATTACAGATCTGAAAAAATACCTATCAAAGAAGCAGCAAGAAAAATATCAAAAAGAGCACAGTGCTTCCCTGTCTGGCTCCCATCTCTCAGCACCTGTCATGACAATGAGCCAGCTGTAACACTTCCAAGTTGGTACTACACCAACCTTTACCACGAAACATTGCCACACGAACACCTGTGAAACCAAGCAAGCTATGCCCCTGCAAACAATCACTTCCCTTTTGTGAAGTCAGTTTAGCACAAGAATTTCTATATACTTAAATCACTACAATGAAGTGTAGGCTTAGGATATCCTGCTTTTGGTCTAAGTCCCAATACTAATGTTTACATACAGGACATGACAACTTTTAACAAGATAATACTCCTTTCAGCTCTCCCTGTGAATAACTGAGCCACAAATTCCACAAAACGAAGAAAAAACCTCTCTAGCTCCCCCACATCAGAAGACAAACACTCTCCAAAAGTACTTCCAGGTTCCCTTACTGACAGGTAAATCCTTGCGGCAGAGATCAAGGCATCCCATACAACCCAAACTGAGCAGCTGAAAGGTAGCAAGAGGGAACATCCAAAATCCTGCTGATGGAAGAGAAAGAATTTTGCCCTGGAGCCCAGAAATACTGCACCAGCAAAGCAGAGGACGGCAGGTTTTATACTACTTTGCAACTAAATTCTAACCTCACAATTGCTATCACTTTCTGAAAACCCCTTAGAGATATGTCAATGACTGTGCATTTATAAGGGTCAAAAAAACGGAATCAAGGGGCTGCGGCTTCAGTTCAAATGTTTACATTCATTCTTTTAAAGACAGAATATATATTTTCAGTACCTGAAGCACTCCAACAGGTATCAAAGAAAACACAGGGAATCCATAGCTGCAGAGACACCATAAAGGAAGTGCTGTAACTGCAGATCAGGAAGTATTTCACTTTTCAAGTGCCCATTAATAGTATCTGTAGAGTGCAGTGTCTCATGGAGCACCCAGGTACATGTTTCCAGACCCACAAGGTACTGCCTGGTACTGCCAGGAACCTTTCCTTCCCTCTGCGTACAGCAAAACTGAGTGGGTAAAGATTTAGAGCAAACAAACTACAACAAACTACACCAAAACACAACATCGAAGATAAGATTTGCTAAATTGTAGCTGTTCAGTGTTTCATGTGCAATGTGTACTTTTGAAGGTTATGTCGGTGTAGCCGAATGGCAACCACAGGGCGTCATGCACAGGTACAAATCTGCACAATGAAAAGCGCCCCCCGTGCACTTTATCACTTATGCTACTCATACCCCAGTGTAACACCGCAGTAGGCCTCCTCTGGTTTTGGCAAAAGACAGACAGAGGATTATCTACGTTGGATAGATATAGATCAATTACAAATCATAAAAAGTATTTTCAATTTTTATTTGAAGAAAGGTAAGGGTCCCTGCTGCTGCTGTTTTCCTAAAGATAACTGGAAAGGTAACCTAAACTCTCGAATCATGAATTGTTTTGAAATCATCTAAGCCCAACACTAAACCTGAGCAGGCCTATTTTGAGATCTAGAATAAACCACTTGGGTAAGACACCACGTCATGGCTGGGTCATCTGTTTCTTCCATATGTGGGTTTAAAAAGGAAAAACTTTTAAAAGAGTTATAAATGGTCAGTTTGTGGTTTACCAGGTCTTGAGCCATACCACGTATGGGCTACAGCCAGGTAAAACCGGTATGACTAAACTGGAACCCAAAGCAGGGAACTGCCACAATGCTAGAACAAAAATCAACAGTGTTCGCCAACATGTCCAAACCTCTTCCATCTGGCACAGCATCCTTTCCCTTGTCTAAACAACGTGGCAAAAGTTCTGTGCTCACTTACATCCTCTTCAATTCCACTGAAATCCTCTTCTGAAGCACACGCTTTACCAAAGCAATGCTCCTGTTCTTGCCCTGCTCCCCAGCACCTTCTCACACACAAGCCACCCTGCAGAAAAGGGAATAATTGCTCCCCTTGTGACAGTTCCTCTCCCTGCTTCGGAACTGGAGCAGATGGTCACAGTAAGGTTGGGGAGGTTCCTCCAATAAATCACTGCGGAAATTCCTTGCTGTCTCATTCCCTGCGCAATTCAGCTGGCGGAGGTTCTCTAAACCTCCCAGGAGTCCTTGTCTACCCTTCTTCGCACTGAACACCACCAGCTAAAAAGATGATACAGGTATGTGACGCAAAATAAATAAAAGGATTAACTGGAAAAAACTACCTGAATGGTCCATCTGATGTTCTGTTCAAGGACCTTGATGGCAAAATGGGAACTTTGTGAGAATTCCCTTACGAACTGTAAAGCAGCAGAGAAAAAACCCATCTGGCCAGATTCTGACCTGGTCTAAGCAGATGCAACTCAGCAGTTAGGAAAAGCGTGTATCTTCGGGCTTAATCACATCAGGTCTGGTTTCCTGTGGCTCCCCAATGCACATGATTACTACTTCTTCATACCTCTGTCATCTCTTCCCACTGTTGCCCTCCCTAACATTATTCTTAAAATTGCCAGCTTAAAAAAAAAGGCAACAAAAATACAAGCACTCGTTGCTCACCCATTTCTTTGAATTCTTCATTGGCAAGTTGCAGCCATGCTACGTCCACATCATTGAGATCATAGCGACACATGCTGTCTGCTAAGGTTCGAATGTCAACATATCCCAGCTCTGGAGGCTCCGAACCTGATGAAACAATATACTTCCTGGGACGTGTAAACGTGACAGCTTTCGTCTCAGACACAATCCTAAAACAGACAGACAAGCAGACATCAAGGTATGCTGGGTTGCCAAGAGACTTGTTTCTAGAGAATTCAAAATGCCTCGTTCTAAGTGACTAACAATCATCAGCAATCATCTAACTAAGCAAGCAATCATCTTGCACCACCGAGATGGGAAGAGAAAACAGTACAGCGTGCTGTCGTAACAGATTGGCAATAGCAGAAGAAATTAACTGTTGTCTAGAAACCCAATTCATTACTAGAATTCTAAAAAAAAAAGAAAATATTGGAGGATATAGCTGTGCTTACTCTTACCTGGACTTCACACTTGTTTAAAGCTAGATTAAGAACACTGTATTCATGTAGTGTAGTGATAGCTACCATATACACAGATGTTAAACTCTGGTTTAAGACTTTTTGTAAATTAATCTGTTCAACTACACCACCAAGATCAAGAAAATTCAAGGGAAAAAAAGTAGTATTTCCTGCTATATTTGAAGTTTTCTTTCTTACAGTATGTTTCTTCTGGTATTTTTCTGTGTGTGTGTGCGTGTGTGTGTAACTACAAAATTACCATCCGTACCTTTCCACAGAGAATTAGTAATTTGCACTAGCTTCACCTTCACTCACCCAAGCAGATCCAAGCTCTCGCATCCTGGGTCTGCATTTCCTCTTTCACAATCACTAACGTCATGCTGGGCCAAGGGCAAATATTAATCAACTACCTTCTCTCAGGCTGTAGAGGCTCCAGTTGGCCAACAACCACCCGTGAAAGCGTCTTTTAGCTGCAAGCCAAGTGAAATTTTGTTCGACCACAGGCATTGGTTCAGGAATCTGTGAAGTACCTACAGCACCTAACTTGTTCGAGGTCAGATTCCTGCAACACCACAACTTTGCAAGGCCAGGAGCTGGGGGCAAAACCGCTCAATTCACGAAGGACAGCAGTCATTCTACCAGCAGCTGGTGACTTGCCTCCGAAGAGCAAGCTACCTCTGTCAGTCCACCAGCAGCGCAGTTCTCTCAACAGAGAACACTGCACTTTCTCTTAGTCAACTGCACACACTGAAATTCAGTTTGGATGAAACCCACTTCACGCTGTAACACTGGTACCTCCAGGAGCAACAGGCCACGCTGCCAAACGACTGCCTCCTACAGCACCAGCGCTGATGATTTTTGGGTGCTCTAGTGCTGCAAGGGAGGAAATAGCACCACCTCAAGTAGACACTGTTCTGCTGGGAACAGCCTAAGCTCCACAACAAGCAGGACATCCTCCACCCTATTTTGGCCCCATCTGAGGTCCAATGTGTTGACTCCTCCTGTCAGAAGACCCTGATCTGCCACTACTGTATCTGCACACATAGATCTCAGTAAATCCTCTACCCATTTCAGTCTCAGCCCTACATCTTCCCCTCATTTACCGTATTTTGGATAACAATCTGAGAAATGGTGAGCAAGAGCCAAATGCTGAATTTCAGGTTTCTGAGGTGCAGAAGGAGACTCTGGAAGAATATGAATCTGAATAACCTTGTCAGCCTAACTGCACTGCCCAAACTGGTCCTGGTCATACTGCACGGTATTAAAATATTTCGGACTACTACATCTCACATTTACCTAAAACTGGGCACTGCTCTCCAAATCTTCTGTACCATGAATTCCTTCCTGAGTACCTCTCCAGGTGGACATCATAACCTCTGGGCAGCACCCTGCATATGCTGTCTAAATACCACTGCAGTGTTGCAGAAGAAATAAGCACAGGTAGTTTGGCTTCAAAACAAACCACCTTCATCTCTTTATTTCTGCGATAGAAAGAAGTTCAAAAAACACCACTTACTACATACCAAAGAACACATTCAACTGAATTATCTATCTGAGCACATGCTTACAATCACCCCACAGACTTGCTCCTTTCCCTGCCCCTCTGAACCTATTCTTGCTGCCCTGACCAGTCACTACAAGGTCAAAACCTTATATTCACTATTCTGTACCTCATTACCATCAGCTATCTGTACTGTATTTTGCTTCTGCTCCACACCAGCTACTATTTGACTATTGCCGATTCCATTTACAGACCACCTCCCTCCTCTCCCAAAGTTAGGCACAGAACAGTTCCAGCACTCCAGCACCACCGCAGCAGGGCACTCCTGGGGAGTTTTCTGAGGGAGCAAGCAGGACAAGAATCAGGCATCAGAGGGCCACTCTGACCAGCAGGTGCTTACCAGTAGGGCCATACAAGATAGCTCAGCAATGAAAAAAGAGTGGTGCCTCCTGTGCCGATAGCTACAACTGTGCGTGCCTTCTTTCCCCATCTCCTTCAGTATCTTGCATTTTGAGCAACATCCCTGTTGGACATTGGCAAAGAAGAGCTCTCTCTTAAGTGAGTACCTGAATCTGATACAGCCACCAAACCACCTCCCTGAAAGATACGGGGTGGAGATCCCCTGGAAGGCCTCCCTCTGCTAAAGCCCACAGGTCTGTCTCCTGGCCCTCCTGCAGCCTTGGGAGACGCTTGAAAGAGAAAGCAGCGAGGAGAAGACAACATAAGGACACATGTACAATGTGTGTGCATTTATGTACAGACTGGGCGAGGTCAGTGTGGAGCAGGCTATGAGCACTGCAGGGAAATGGTATGCTCCCATCTTCTAAACTGCACAGCAGAGGGGAAAATGCCGAGTTCTCCTTGGAGCTCCAGGTCCAATCCCTCAGAAGGAGAAGGAAGGAAAGGGTTTACCTCATGTGCAGGTAAGTTCCTCATCGTACAGACCTAGTGGGGCCGTGCAGCGCTCTGCAGGTTGCTGCACCGAACACAAAAAGCGCTAACAACCATTCCTGTAGTCCCCCTACTCCAAGGTTAAAACTGGCAGATACAGACCTAACAGAAGCAGTGTAGCATCACCCAGAATTTTTTGCTGTGTATCAGAAATCGGGCCGTTCCAGCCCCCAGCAGCACTGGCGGGTCATTTGGCAACGCCTTATGGGCCAGTCTGGACTTAGTCAAAGAGACCTAGTACAATTAAGCAGCAATTATCCTTGTTCTTCTCACTTTCTCCAACTCCAATCCCAACTAAGTATAAAATAGATAGATGGGCTGCAGGATGATGCTGCCCGTACAACTGTACTGTTTAATTTGAAACAGAAAACAGTACCTAAGTGTAACAAAGAAAGTAAGGAAAATAAGGGTTTCTTGGGTAAGACTTAGAAAATCTCACAGTAATATATTTAGTTACATGCATATCTGGATGGTTCTTAAAACAGCTGAAATGTACAACAATCTCCTAAGTTAGTAAATGAAACAACGGAAAAAAAAAACATGAAACCAAAATAAATGCCCTATTTCCTCTAGCCCTTAAGTCTGGCTTGTCTAACTGTTCCTTGAAAGGAATCTATGGCTTGGAACTAAGCACAAGAAACATCAGACAAGGGCTCTCCCAGCAATGCTGGGTGAGGTCAGGTCTGGGCTTAAAAATAGAAGCTATTTTTAAGGTTCTGTCATCACACTCCATTCTAATGTAATGCCGAAAATGATTCTCCGACATCTGTATTTCAACACACAGGCAGAGCAGGCCTGACTCTTGACCTCTCCGACCATTCAAAACGCTGAGGCAGGTTCCTCTTTGTCTCTGAGAACCAAGACCTTTCTAGCTAGACACTGTGGAATAGAGCCCAAGAAGGCAAGGCAACACAGACATAAGCTGCCAGCATAAACATACGTGTATTTGTTTACATTCCTCCAAACTATACCTGGCTACTGGTTCTGGGATGGTCCCTGGGCTAACTGGCACCTGAACTCCCTTTTCCCACTCCTGCCTCCAGGGGTCTGCCAGCACATAGTATTCATCAGGGTTCAGCTGGAAGGAGTCATGTAACTTCATGGCAGTGATCAGGTCCGTTCTGAACACCTGCAAAGAGAGTGACCAAGAGAGAAAAACAGAGACACTGACATTTGATATTCACACTCTATGATTCACAGCTTCAGGGTAACCATGGAGCACAGTGTGTAACACGGTCACAGTAACAACAGTGAACTAACCCAGCCCACTGCAGGACAGAAGTTGAGCTTCATCACGGGGAAAGGGGCAGCTGAAGGTGCAAATATTGACAGAACAACTTCCAGCTAACTCCACTGCAAGTCCTGGCGCTCACCCTGCACTGGAGACATAATGCTAAAAGGTGCTACCCACTTTTACCTCTGTCTTGGCTGCAATAAAAGCTGCAGGAGCTCTGAGTCTTACAATAGCAGCACAAGGAAGACTTGTTTTTTGCTCCAAGGTTTTTGGGTTTTTCTTAATTATTGGAGCTCTGACTAATCCAAAGACATTCTAGAAATTCCTTGTGGTAGAAATCAAGGCGTGACTCTACCATGACCAGCCACAAGAGGAAATTCTAAGGAGATGACTCTTTGTGCAAGTATTTAAAAGAATAACCCAAAAGATCAAATAAAATAAGACTCAAACTGGAATTCTGGTGGCAGCTCCCTGTTCAGCACAGGTGCTTGTTATTCAATCCGCTACAGACACCTCTGCATCATAGCTGTAATTTTACTTTGCCTTTGCAAAGGCATCCACTCCTACGATGAGCAGGGAGTTTGGCAACTTTGGCGCTGGCAGCCACGAACAAGCAGCGATACTGCCTTCAACAAGCCAGAGAATGAAATCAAAAGGGATCAACTCTTGTAGTGGGCATGCTGTGGTACTGCTGCAGCAGCTTCATCCTGGCCGGCCACTGCCTGTCAGCACTGCAGAAAGCAAAGGGTGCTCTCACAGGCATCAGAACTACAAGCCTGCACTTGTTCAAGTGTCTTCTACCTCTTCCCACCCTGCCCTCCCTGTGAGGCAAGGCTGCTCTAGACTGCAGCAACTGCACTCCACAACCACAGATTTTTAACTACTGAATGCCACGTTCAAACGAAAGGGTTAAAAAGCAACCAGGTAACAGAAAATAAGCATCACCAGGACAAGAAGTATATAGGCAACATCTTAAGAGAAGTCCCCCTGCAGACTTGGTTTGTGGTGGACAGAGTCAACATCCACCCAGTCCCACGCTGCACAGTTACAAAGGAAAAGACAGATTATCAGGGTAGTGCTCCTAGATTCTCTTACTGGGCTGCTAAGGGGGGCAAAGTGATCCAGGCTTCCAGTTCCAAACCAACAGCCATGCTGTTTGATGTTAGCTCCAGCCAACTGTTGCATACGGTTGAGGAAGAACCAGATCTATACAGGCTGTTAATTAGACAGGCCTCCCCCAGGACAGCCATTTCTGTCATACACTAGTCACACACCTGAAATCTCAACAGATTCTCTAAGATTTTTGAGAAGTATTTTAGGGAAACAGTGAACCTGATGGTTAATTATAATTCTGAGAATATTTCAAAGTGTGATTTGCCTTACCACACCGCACATCTTGAAACCTCTCCTCCCTCCCAATACATGCATACTACCCAACTTCTGTCTCAGTATGTTTCTGCTTCTACTCTGCTTTTGTCATAAAACTAGCATAAAATCATGACATTTTTCTTAACACTTGTGTTGACATGTTCAGAAAAACTGCCAACATTAAAAAATAAAGAATAATATTACCATATGAAGGAACGGGTGATTGCAGGTAATGAAATATAATGAAATGTTTTAAACAATCCAATTACAAGTCCTGTGAGGCTCCAATCAAGAAATGAAAAATAAGCCACAAAGTAAACTGGCTCACAAAACAAATAAGCACAGCTGGCCAGGGGATTCTGCACTACCAAGTGATTTGAATTAAAGTAATCAAATGTCAAATGAAGACTAAAAATACAAAATGGGATGCAAAACTTGCCCAATCTGAGAGCTAAAGTAACTCAGGCCCTCAGCTAAATTTGTCACAAAACTCCTTCAGAAGCAAAGCTAATGCAGCACCTGACAGCCAAGAAACTCCTTCCCAGGCCAGTGGCCCTGTGACACCATTCTTTCTGCTCTAATTTCTGATGCAATCAGACTGCCCGGAGCAAAGCAGAGTTTACAGAAGTGCTGGCTCTCAGAAGCACTCAACACTTCAAAGCTAAAGGGTGAAACCCTGGCCACGCTGAAGTCAATGGGAATTTTGCCACCAACTTCAATGAGAGCAGGATTTCACCCGGGGAGTTTAGCAAGTGTCACTTTTCTGCCAGCACACTTATCATCAGAGTAGTGTGCTGTGGTGAGCAGAGACAATGTAAAGGGAGGGAGGGAGCGAGAGGGGGGAAAGATTGTGGAACAGAGCTAAAGGGAAGCACATGAGAAGTCCATCCAGGCTGAGCAAACGAGAGAGAACAGCATAAAGCTGCAAAGATTCTGACAACAAATGCAAGGAAAGGGAGAGGAGAAAATAGAAGCACACAAAAACCAGCAGAATTATCTCAGATTATTTCTTGACAGCCTTTCATGAGGTAGTTCTCAAAACTGGGTCTAAGGGGTTACTTCTAAGGGATGTACAAAAGATAACGAAGGAAAGCAAGTCAATCATGAGCAAGAATAAATTCACTGGGGGTCTCCACATTTACTGAAGACAAAGGTCTTTAACAGCCAACAATCAAAAAAAGATGACTGGAAACCACCAGTACTACGTATAGTTCACACTGAATGACGAATGGGATTCTTCCTGTGAAAACTCTTCTCTGGGACTTAGAGTCATTAGGGAGATTAATAAAGCATGGTTTTTCTCAACATCACTCACTCACTAATGCATCAGAACTACATGGATTGGGGAAGTACATTAAATGAAGCAATTCCATCTCCCAAAGCTAATGCTTTCCTTGCAGCCTCTACAAAGGCCACACTGTAGTATCTGCCTGAAGATAGGGAGATTCTGCAAGAATATTTCCAAAGAACGGGATTGCATTTATGTGTTACTAGCAGTTGATCCATCCTGGAAAGTTCAAAGATTTGTATCTCCCTTGACAGGATTTGCTCAAAGCACTATGCAAGACAGAACTGTCAGGAAGCAGATTTCTAGTTTGACAGGCACTTTAACAAAGATCACACACCAAGACCTAATACAGACTATGAAATAAATGCACCTAACGTAATTTTTCCTCTATTCACAAATCAAGCTACAAATAAATCCTGATGCCTAAAATACTAGAAGAAAGACTCCACAGCTATGCTGTGAACGGGTGTCAGACTAGAACAAAATTCACAGCTAGAAAACTGGCGCTGTCAGTGGCTGTGCCAACAGTTGAACTCCCTAATCTCCTGGCAAAAGAAAAAAGTGGCGGG